GGCGGTGGTGTTGAGGCTCTCAAGGACGTCTTCTTCTATCGACAACACGCAACTCCACCTATGATTCACTAAAACATCAATCACCCACTTACCATGGTGTCTGGCTCTTCTGAAAGAGGAGATTCAGTCTGACATGGCCTTCCGACTCAAAACACGACCAGATTTGTTTATGTGTGCGCTCCGGCTCCGGCATACAACAAAACAATAATCACGGGTTTTACTTGCTATGGAGAAAACCCTGAAGCCGTTGTCTTTATAGCAAAATATTTGGATATCAATTCTATGGTGTTCTGCTTTTGGTGGGACGGGTCGCCAACGGCACCTTCTGGCGTGCTCAAGAGCTCACCCGCGCTATTGGCCAAGTCTTCAACTGTAACCCGCCTCAGTTCGATGGCTTCCTGCGCTACTCAAAAGATGAGGATAGATGTGCATGACTCTCTGGTCTGGAGGAACGAGGGTGTGAGCGGATGCTGGGGTTCTACTTCGACGACCATAAAAGGGTCGCTGTGTTCACTTTGTACTATCAATATACTTTATCTGCTTTTAACGTACACCAAAACGAGGGGAGAAAAAAGCTATGGCGTTCTGCTCTTCTCAAAAACACTACTGCAGACTTCGATGGCTTCTCGGCCTGGTGCATTAGCATATTCGATAGATGACATAGTTCGAATTCAACCCCAATCCAAAAAACATTATCATCTTATTACAAGGCTAGAATTCTATGTGATGTTTCCTCCTATTAAAAACTGTCTACTCTTACCTCATGACCTCCTGCCCTTCTCAAAGGTCTTGTTTCAACGCAAGATGGCGTCTCGGACCGAAACAATGCTCAACACAGGGGATAGCAGAGTCTGACCTCACACTCACATATAAAGCCACCTTTGTTCTTGCCTTCTTCCTTCGACACACTACACACTTTCCCTTCCTTAACACCAAAAATGACATGACTTCCCACTTATGGCTTTGCGGGCTTCTTTCAAAATCACCGTCACGTCCAGCGATGAGTGTCCGACCAGAAAGCCTCGTGAACCGTAACGATGACGAGGCTCCACTTCGGCCTCAAACATAAAGCCCGCCGTCTACTCGCTCCCTCCCTTGACTGTTACTCTACACTTCTACTTTGTACATACCAAAACTAAGTTGGTCATCCGTCATGGGTTTGCGGACTTCTCCCAAAATCAATCGCATTATTGTCCAATGACCTGTAAACACGCCAGATGAAGCTCAGAGTACTGGCGAGCGGTGAAAGCCACCCCAGGAATCCAAAAAGGCAGCTGAAGTGCCGAATGTTGCCGTGTGTTGACTGTTGAAATTATGGAACCCGGAGCACATGATGGATGCTGGTACCAAGGAGTGCATATACCGTATCCCCACCTCGGGTCCCCTATAAAAGCTACCTCCTTCCTCGCTCTTCTCTTCCTTTACAACACACTTCCACTATTTTAAAATACCAAAACAGAGCACCATGTAAGCCATGGCTCTCCGGTCTTCTTCTTTTCCAAAACGACCATGGTATCCGACAATGACTTTGCGGTCGGCGAAAGACTTTAATGTCTTCCAACCTTATCCATACTTTATACCAGATCCTAAAAACAGATTGATAAAGTACATGTCAATTGGTCGAAAGGAAGCAGCAAAACGAACACCATATGCGGCAAGACGTGCTAGAAAAATACACCAACGCATTTCATGTGCGGTTGAAGTCGTCAAAGACTTACATCTTCGACCTGTGAGCGCGCAGCGGGGGGACTGCATATATAAACTTCTTGTCTTTGCTGCCTCCTTCTTCTTTATCCACATATTTGTATTCCGCATATCCAAAAAGACGATGCTAGGACGCATGAGCACCGTCTCTGCCGTCTCCAAAACACAAATGAAACCACAATATGGTGTGCTATTCGAAATCGTCAAAAACGTTTACGTTCAAGCTCATGAGTGGCGATCGGGGGGAGTGAACATATAACTGTCGTCTTCGCTGCCTCTTTGCTCTTTATCCACACATTCTTATTCCGCATATCCAAAAACTTAGAACACAAGAACGATGGCAGCCGTCTTGCCGGTATTCTAAAAGAAAATTAAGCAGTATTATGCTGTGCTGCTGGAAGTCTCAAAAATCGCAAAGCCACATCTTTATGAGCACGCAGTGAGCGGGGTATATATAAACCTCCCCTTTGCGCTGCCTCCTTCTTTCTTATCTACACATTGCCAATTCCGCATATCCAAAAAACTCTGGAGCACAGCTTCATGGCAAGTGTCTCTTCCCTCTTCCAAAAAGAGAGACAAGCTTAACGATGGCGAGCTTGCGGGCTTCTCTGCAATCGAAAAGGGCATTCAAGGTTATAATGAAAGTAGTGAAGCTGTCCAAACATGCTATGTGATGAACTCATGGCCAGAACTCCGGTCCGGTGGACTCAAAAGACAAATTCCTTCGTGGCATGTGGGTGCGTTGGGAGTGTTGAAAGACTACACCAATGTCTTGATGCTTGCCTCGTTCTGCGATTCGTTTGCTGTGGGTGTATAAAGCGTCGCTCACAAATCGTTTTTTCTCTCTTCAATTACCTACAGTGTTCTTGTTGAACCAAAAAGATCAATCATCATGCCGCATGTTCTTTGCGCCTGGTCTTCTAAAAATGGAACGCACGGAAGGCATATGTTCAAAAGCCGTCAATGAAGGGCTCATCAGATGGTGCGACATCTGCCGAGCTATCTCTGTCACCAAAAGTCTGGAGCCACATTATAATGGCGTTGCCCTGCTGTGTAGAGGCAAGCGAGAAGACTTCAAAACCAAAACAGTCCTATGTTGCTCGGACTCGACCATAGGCTGCTGTTACATTCATTCCTATCATCGTGAGAACGTTCTCGTCGTCTCTTCCGGCTGAGTCCATCGTCATTACTATCGCACCCTCGCGTCCCTCTTAGCCCTGCATCTCAATTCCTCCACTCCCGTGGATTACCTCACCCGTACAATAGCTTCCCAACGGGCTAGCAAGATGCACATAACACGTCGCCATCTCGACCGGCATGCCCGGACGATTCAGTGGGCAAGCACCTACACCCAACGAATCCATCGCATCAGCCGGGTTGTTCTTCGTCGCGGGCTGAAGCGGCGTCCAGATAATGCCCGGCGCAACAGCATTAACACGGATTCCGTTTGGCGCTTGCTGCTGCGCAAGACCGCGAGTGAAGGTCACGATGGCGCCTTTTGTAGAGGCGTAGTCGAGGAGCATGGGGTTGGACATGTAGGATGCGACTGAAGCGCTGTTTACGATGCAGTCGCCGCGCTTCATGTGTTTGAGCGCGTATTTGGACATGGCGAACATGGAGATGACGTTGGTGTGGAAGGTCTTTTCGGTTACGTCCAGGTCGATTTCGGTTATGTCTGTGCAGGCTTCTTGCATGGCGGCTGTTGTATCGTTAGTTTGGATTGGTGATGTGAATGAAGTAACGTGATCTTACCGTTGTTGACAAGTACGTTCAGCTTGCCGAAGACCTTCATGTGTTGCTCAACGGCTTGCTCGCAGTTCTTCCTCTCCCGCAGGTTGAGTTGCATGAGGTTTGCTTTGCGGCCGGCTTCTTCGATCTTCTTCTTGACGTATTGCGCATCCTCCTCCTCTTCGGGCAAGTACACGATGCTGACATCGGCGCCTTCTCTTGCGAATAGGATCGCTACAGCGCGTCCGATACCAGAGTCTCCACCTGTGATCAACGCGGCCTTGCCTTGCATCAAACCACGACCCTCATACTCCTTGAGGTAGGGTTTCTGGTTCTCGTCCCAGAACTCGAGACGCGACCATTCTGCTTTTTGATCGGTCTTTGCGTCTAGACCAGGGCCGCCTTCTTGGTTTTGAGGTGTGATCTCTGTGGCAGGGTATGCGGTAACTGGGCCCTTGTTGTCGCTCATCTTGAAGGTAGTGTGACTAAAGGTACGTGTAATTGGCCTGAATAGGATAGAAGAGGTGATTGGCTTCCGGAAAACAAAGTTCGAAGATCTGATGATGGTTGATTTGAACATCTCTGTCGATCGGGGGGTAGTAATTGTAGGGGCCGGTTTTGGTGGGGTTGAGATTTGATGCGATCGTCATCGAGCGTCATCGTTGGAATTCAACACCACGTCACGACGCTGAGTCTGGACTGAGGCTTTTGAAATTGTTTATTAACCGGTGCATAGAAAAGCGATAAAGAGGACACCAGGCGTGCATGGGCTTACCCATCTGATCGATGGAAGTCGCGTTCTCTGCTCCAAACGCGTCTGAGCCGCTTCGCAGGTGTGCGTGCGTGCACAGATCATCCACGTCGGCAAAGCAACGACACGCTCACAATCGAGGAGAACCTTGAACGAACACCTGCTGGAGGGACGAGGGCCAAGAGTATCGGGTCCGGGACGTATAAGGATATAGTAACTGGAAGATACAACAGCGACCAATCTTAAGTCCCGTATTCAAGCTTCTTTTGCGAAGCTACCTAGGTGATCAGGCATGGAGCATCATTCTTGCCCCCAGCCTCCCGTCGGCAAGGGTGTAACGAAGGCTTGCACGTCCATGGAATGATGATAAGGTCTTGTTGATGCAGGTCGGTCACCGCAGCTCTTCGACTACCCGACGTCTCGCGTTCCAACCTAGGCCCGGCCAAGCGTCCGCTAACTTTCACGCAAGCTGAGTTTTCTCATGACCAGTCTGCGCAGTGGCAGGCCGACGACAGCATTTCGAAACTATGTGCCGCGCATTTCATGCTGCTTGAAGAGAACAGAGGAGAAGATGGAGAGTTTCAGGGTCTTGGAACCTTCGTCATGATTCCATTGGAAGGGGGCGCCATGGCCCTTTCAGGATTAGTCCGACGACCTTACCCCACAGCCCCTGATCCGTGCCGCCTTCCGCTTCCCGTGTCACCTCACCGTTTGTTCTCCGAGTACTCTGCATCAACGCAGACCTAACCGCCATTGTCTGTGATCCTTGTGAATACTTGAAAGTGCTTCTCGAACAACATTACTCTCTTCAATCGCCATGGACCCATCACTCGAAAGTGATGTTCTAAACCGAAGATCGTTAATTCTAACGTACCGAAATTACAAAAACGACACGGAGTACATCGCTGGTTGGCTCGCATGGACATCGGGGAAATGCGGATACATCAGAGCTATCAACGAGCCGGAGCCTCAGCAGAAGGCGCCGCGGAAGAGGGGAAAGGCAGGCAAAGCTCGTAAGCCAGCCACGAAGACGCCGGAGCCTGTGACCCCAGCTCAATATCCTATACGCGTCTTCGAGTTCGTAGAGATGGCTGAACATATTGCTTCATTTGATCCCAAGATTGAAGTCCCAGCTGCGCTACAACAGGTGTTTGACCGAGTGATCTTAGCTCGGAGCAAAGTGGCCAGTTGGTTCGAGAAAGGGCACTCGACCGATTACGTCAGCAACCACAGGCACTCCTACTTTATCACCGTTCTGGAAAAGGCGGCAAAACTGCTGAAGCCTCTGATACCAGAGACGCCAGTAGTTTCTGAGAACATCAAGTTACAAAACAGGTTCGCCGGGCTTACGGTCGAAGAGACGGACCCACTGGACGATCTCATCACCGAAGTTAAGGAGAAGCAATTGCCCAAAGTCGACCCTATCCCGATTGAGCAAGACGAGGAGAGTCTCGAGTACGACTTCTTCTTCGCTATCGCGACATTTCTTGACGAGATCTACGACGTGCGAGCATGGATTGTGCGAGAGTGGGATGAATATCGGCAGACAGGTGACGGCCTCACACGCGCGGCAGTGCTTTCCAATACAGCCGTCGACCTGGTGCGATCTGCTGAGAATCAATTCGATCAGATGCTCGTTCGTCCCAAGAAGTAAGGCTAAGCCATTGCAGTGCCCGTATACACAAGCTGACGAAGATGATTAGATACCCCGCCAAGGAATACCCTGTTTGGACTCTTCCGGCACTGCTCTATGCTCGCTTGCATGATTTCTGGGACGGCGATATCAAAGATAATGTCGATAAACTCGTCAAGCCGTCTATGAGAATCCAGCCAAACGATCATCCGTGCGAGCAGGAGACATATTGCATGTGGCACGTCTATAGCGGCCTAAAGGTATTTTTGTTATCACAGACGGGCCCACTTCACACTCGACAATCTCACATAACGCGAGAGTCATTCGGTAGTAACGCAGACAAAATAGCCCTGGAGGTCTTTGAGACCCTGGAATGGGCTCAGTTCTTCGGCGTCGCAAGTCATCCCCATCTGTCTCATTTCGCTGTCGACGAGACTGCTCGGGGCATCAAACACATGATAACTTTCAAAGAGATTCCTATATGGCTCACTGTAGCGGTACAGATGTTCTTTGACGTTGAGTCGGTGTTTCAAGAGGAGGGCACGCTTGCAGCGCCTTTTCGCGAGTACAAAGAAACTGTTCGTAAAGCCGCGAAGGATTTCTCCAAAATTGATCCTATCTCCAAAATTGATCCTATCGAGCGGCCATTCAAGGGATCTGCGGATTCCGACAAAAAGATAGCCTCGCTCTATCAGAACATGCGTAATATCTTGAGCGACCATCAAGACTACGCGATTCGTGATCGCTGGGGAAGATTCATCCGGAAGATCAAGGAGGACAAGTATGAGCCACTGAGTAAAACTGTAGACGAGCCGGATTACGGTACGTTTGGATCATACTGGTGTTACAAGAGGGCTAAAACTAACTTGCGACAGTCTTGAAAAGGCATCCGATCCGCTGCGGGCTTCTGAAGTACGAACTACAGCTACAGCTTAATCACAGAGCTTCCAAAATCGAGCATATGGCGGGCGACATTCTTTACATGGCCTGGCTGTATGTTGCGGTAAGCCGGATACTGCACCCGGAAATGCCCCGATGGCCTGACATGGAATATCTACTCAACGGTCGACAAGACAAGCTATTCTTCGGCGAATGGCCAAAGACTCTCGACGAAGTGGGTAAGAAGATTGATCTCGGACGCGGCTACTCCATTGCCAATAAGGCGAGCAATCGGCGTTCAAAGAAGGACACCTGGGACAACAAGCAAATGCGCCGACTCGACGACCCAACTGTGATCGGAGAACTGTTTTTGAAGCGGATGGGTGCGGAACCCAAATCAACAGCAGAAGCCCACGAATGGGTGATGAAGTTAGTCAGCCTGGTGTGCAAGCCCGAGTCGCAAAGGATCTTGGACCGACAAGAAAACTTACCCCAAGGTACTTACGAAACATCGGAATTCTTGAAGTCCGTGGAGTTGCAACGCGAGCCCTTAGCCTTGCTCGGAGAGATTCGCCAGTGGCTCCTAGCGGATGAAAACGACCTGCACTTCGACTGGTTCGGTATGTTGTCTACCTGTACAAACATCTGGAAGACAATCATGCCGGCATTTCGCAAGAATCCCGTGTTCAAAGACGACCCTAACATCTACAACTGGAACGTTAATACTGTAATCACTGTACTCAAGACAGAATCTATCGCGCAAGACATGGGTACGCCTATGCCAATCTTTGAGGCGGTTTGGGAAACTTTAAAGCAGTTCATCCAGATCCCAGTATCAAAGGAAAGCGGCAGCAAAACATGGAAGGGCGATCTACATTTGGCCAAGCTTGTAGATGTTTGCAACCCTGCGATGACGTTGATGAACCCAGGGCCTGTCAGCTTCATGAATCTCTATGCAAACTGGAGTGATGAAGACAAGAGAGACTCTCGTGTGGGCAGAGCAGTTTGGTATGCAATGCAGGCATTTGGTGCTAGGACCGGGAAGGAGAAGAACACCAGAGAGAGCGTGAAAGAAGAGACAGATGGTGAAGAGTCAGTCAGCGAGATATCAGCCGCCGAGGAGCCTGTCGACGAGGAACCAGCCGACAAAGAGCCAGTGAATGATACACCCGCGGATGAGGACGAACCCAGCGAGCACTCAGGCAGCCAAGACGATGAGACGGCTGAAATCGACGAAGCAGCTTCGGATGCTGGTAGTGGCATCAGTATTCAGGAATTCTCTTTGGACCTTAATGCGCTAGCTAGCCAGTACAAGAACGGCGGCAACAACATCATCTTCATGGGCAACAAAATGAAAGCGCCGGTAGCCATCAGTCGCGCGCAGATGGGCCAGCTACGTACGGCACCCAATGGGGACTTGATATTGCCCGGCGGACCCCCAAGCCGGTCATCTCGAGTACAAATGCTACCCCCACGGAAGTCGAAGCGTGTTCGTGGTGTTCGTGCAATAGCTACGACGGAAGATGCCCCCGATCTGTGTGCTTGCGGTCTCAGTCGGTACGGAGTGAGTGTAAGGCCGATAACGACAATGAACACCAAGGCAGCGAAAGTGGAGCACCAATGTATGGGAGCGCTATTCGAAGGGATCGACGTGCCGGATCGTGATCTTGGAGACGCTATCAAGGTGACACGACGCAAAATTCGAGGTTCGTAAAGTTGGAAAGAAGGAAAGCAGACTCGGAGCTCGTGGCATGGGACCGCGGAGGTAGCATAGCTAGTCAATGTATGTAGTCGACCACGATGTCTTCAGCACCTAGGTTTCCTGCTAGCGTTCGCTCCATGATACAAACAACCTTTTTCGAAACACGCTCTTACAGCAACGGCAGTGACGACATTGCGAACGTACCACGTACTGCCAGGTGCTCGCTGGAGATCCATCGCACCGGGCTTCTAACCTTCGGCTTTCCTTGCACCTACTAAGGCTCACGGTAAACAACCACGAGCACGACCTCAGCGCATGCCAGAACGTTTGCATTGGAATGCTGCAGCAAGATGCAGATCAAAGCCAATGCAGTTGCACGATAGACGCTGGAAATGAAGTTCTCGTACAAAACCAATACCCGGGTGCGTGTCTTCGCTAACAGAGACATGCCGACGGACGATCAGGTAGGTTACCGCTGCTAATACCCATGGGATTGTTTCCGAGAAGCAATTTACATGCAGGTTGCACGCGGCGCAGCTTCTCAAGATCATCAGGAACACTTCAATGCGTTGCTTTTGATGGACTATTGTACCATACTTGGACGATTGGGCAACAGCGACCCAGGAAATTGCATATGGCCTGCGCCACGAAATGACGCTGGAACAACACTCCAAGATACCAGGCGTACAACATAGAGTTTCTGTCTTTACTGGCATGCCATGCGTTCGCTTGTTCGAACTGTCGAAAGGAACGGAAAATGACCTGGAGAGCCGCTAAAGTCCAACTGTGGTGTTCGGAAGGTATACACAGCGGGGCGCTTGATGGGCGTCTGCGATGTTACTAATCGTGCGACTACCATATTTGACTACCTTGTTTGGTAATCTCCATACGTCAGTAAGCTAATGCCGACGCCGCACACTCCCTACCGATAGTCGTCACGGCCGGTAAACTTCCAAGATGCGCTCGCATGCATCCGAATCCTCCGGATCAGACGGGCGCATAACTCAACGAGGAAGGTCAGGCCCTCCTCGTGGCGACATGTCGATCGTTGAGCGGAGAGCCAGCATCTGGACCAGAGTGGAGGAAAAGTACCAAGGCTTTCGGCAGTGCTCACGCGTGTCGCTCGTATTACTAGGGAGGCCGGAAAGCGATCAGTTGCTAGGATTTCAAATGCCCGTTCGGTAAGAGTTCGCCAACCTGCGTTGTTTGAAACATAGCACGGCATTGTCTCAAACAACCAGACGTTTTCGTCGCAGGAGTGAACCAAAATTGCTGCATGCGCCGGTGATATGTTGGGAAGCGATGGGTCTTGTCGATAGGCTGTTTATCGATAGCCCTCTGGCGGCTGAAACAGCGGCGTCGTGCGGCAGCGGAAGCCCCGTATTCACCCCTGCTGCCACGACACGCAGCCGAGGGGCGATCCGACCACCAGAAAAACAGCCCCAAGTCATTACAAACGAAAACCAACATGACATCACGCCTCTTGATTCGTTCTTTTGCGTGATGAGGTTGATCTCGGTGTTTTCCGAGATCCACCCAAAATCTTGAGACTTCGATGTCTGGGCTTCGAGAATACGAAATGTACGTATGCAAACTCCACATGAGGTTGAGAATGGCACAGCAGGCTGAGACACCGACAGCTGCGTGACAGAATTAGTACTATGCAATAAGAAGGGGCACAGTTCGTCATCTCTACGCCGTACGTAGGCGCGCAGATGACTACCAATGATAGTGGGTGTGTTCCTCTACACGCCGGGCGAACCCAGTTCGTGACTAAGAAACTAGGTCTTTCGTACCTACATTAGCGTCAGGCACACACTCCACCAGCTGAGCGCCGGCGCACCTCTTTGGTCGGCAGGCCGCCTGTCAGAGACAGCAGAAGCCACCGTGCAAACCCCTCACGGGCGTCGGGAAATGCGGGGCGAAAAGTAAGCGCCTCCGAAATGATGGCCTGGACATTCCGGGCCACCTTGGCTGCTTCTGGAATGCTGGGTGGTGAGCATTCTTAAGGGCTGCTGCTCGCCCTTGCAGAGGGTTATCCTTCACGCTCACAGCAAGCAAGTCACTCTCTCTTCAGTCATTCATTGACCAGTCATTCATTCTATAGCCCGGTGCTATCAACGAAACACTCATTCTTTGTCACATTCTTTATCACATTCTTTACATATACCCACCAACACATATACCTACAGAACCGTTATCCCTACGCCCAAGATCAACTCAACCATGTCTATGTCCAAGATCTTCCAGACTGGCGCTCTTGTAGCTGCCCTCATCGCTACCGTGGCCGGCCACACCTCTGTCGAGCAGTTCGAGGCTGGAGGCAAGACCTACCCCGGTTTCCGTCAGGCTTCCAAGCAGGATCCTGGTAACAAGTCGCCTGCTTGGTGGACCAACCAGGGCTGGGGATACCAGCCCATCTACGGTGACAAGCTGAGCCAGTACGTTCATACCGATCCTAGCTCTACCCTTTCGTACATGTACTGACCAAACTCCAGCCCCGACATCATTGCCCACAAGGATGCCTCCCCCTCCCCATACACCGTCGAAGCCCCCGCCGGCCAAGACGTAACCTTCCACTGGCACCACGAGGGCAGCTGCGGCTCCGGAGAAGAGGGCTGGGACTGCTCTCACCACGGCTGGACAGCCACCTACATGGCATCCTGCAACGGCGACTGCAAGAACGTCGACAAGACGAAGCTCGAGTTCTTCAAGATCCACCAAAGCGCCCTCCTCGACTACCGCAAGGGCCGCTACTCCTCCGGCCAAGCCCAAGGCCAGACCGGCTACTGGGGCACCGACGCCATCTTCTACGACAACGGAAACACCCAGAAGGTCACCATCCCTTCTGAGATCCCCAGCGGAAACTACGTCCTCAGGACTGAGGTTGTGTCTATCCACAACAACGGCGATGTTAGCCAGCGCCAGTTCTGGCCTCAGGCTTTCAACATCAAGGTCACTGGCGGTGATGACAGCAAGCAGGTCCCTGCTGGAAAGAAGGGTACTGAGCTGTACAAGGCTAGCGATGAGCTTCTCCAGTGGGACCTTTACTGGCACCAGGCTGGTGAGACCATCGAGGATGCGCCTGGTCCTAAGCTCGCTGCTGTCGCTTCCGTTCAGAAGCGTGCTCACGCTCGTGACTTCTCGGCTTAGGCAACCCTTTTTACACTTTCAACTTCCTCTTCTTCTTTCTCCGTCTGCTTAGGGATGGCTGGTCGCATGCTATACGGGTTAGCTGCGCGGATTACAAAATGGTGTATACGGGCATGACTTCGGGGTTAGGCTTTCACGGACTGGGACTGGGATTCTTCTTCTTCTTGGGCATCACTTTCGGTTGGACTGGGTCTTTCGACGAGGATGATGCTGCGACGACCTTTTTATGATTCACTTCTTAGATACACTTAGGCATTGCTGCAATGCAATTTTCGAGCACTGCGCTCAACCACACAATGATTCTGGTCTTCTTGACTCCATGACTCTTCCTCGCGTGATTCGTAGCTTGTGGCGGTCAGGTACTTATTGTGCATTTAACTCGTGACCAATCTCATGAGCCTTCGCAGGTGGAAACTGGCTTTGCTTGTCGACCAGCATCTTTCCATCCCTAGTCTTACAAGATATACACCCTCGCTGGGTTGTAGTAGTGCTCGCTTGGTATCTTCACGCCCTCACGGTCCACCCATTCCACACTCATAGTCCATGCATGAAGACGCATCATCATCATCCACCAGACATCCTCGTATGAGACTCTTCCGTCGGTGGGGTTACGCCGTTCCATCTCCTCGGCAAATTTTGGTACATTTTCAGCGTAAATGTACGCACGCTCCAGGAAAATTGGATCCCATCCTTTGGGAAGCGGGTCAAAGTCTCGTGTTTTGCCGCGTCCGTTCTTGATGTTTTCCTCCGCTCTCTGAAGGCTAGAAGCATTGAAATCGATGTGACAAGCTATGTAAGAAATGTACATATTTACCAAACTCACGCCGTCGGTACCATCTAGATATCGTGTTGTGGCGTTGAACGCGTTACGGAAGTGAGCACTCCACGATGGGCCCGTCATGAATTTCCGGGAGACTGTCATGAAGTTTTGAGTGCTCATCTCTTCCCAAGTGTTGAAGAAACTCAATACTTGCTTACATGGCTCTGAGAGCGATGTCTTATGACTGTCGAGCTCCAATCTCCAGACGTTACGTGACTCCGGTCTTTCGCCCATCGTGTTTAGCGGGAACGGGAACGGGTTATCGATCACGTTTCGTGTAATGCCTTCGATTGGGAGCCATTTGCACCACAGCCCAAGGATGTCGGTGAAAGCGGGAAGTCTATGAGCAGGATCATGATGTGACAAGCTTGCTTCCAACACTTTTGCTCCCTCAGAACTTATGTGCAGTATGTTTAACAAACGATCTAGATTCACCTCTTCAGGGGCGCGCTTCTTCCTCACATGTAGTTCGGGGTATGGCGGACGGTAGTTGGAAGAGTAAAATGTTCCATAGTTGGAAATAATCCCATAGGACAACTGAAGTCGTTAGCTAAGACGAGGCATGTATGGATAGAACGTTACAAAACACTGGCAGCTGCGCCTTGTCACAGACCATGTATTTTAACATAAATTTGGAGCGATATCTTGCACTTGGCAAAGCCACAGAAGAGATCTTTAAAACAAGTAGTGATGGAACTAGTACACGATACGTACCTGGTCTACTACCTCGATAGGTATACGACTTTCGTGGGTTTCACTGGGTGCACCTGCGTTGTACTCCACTACGAGTCCCATACCACGCACAATAGACGTGGAAAGGCTTCGATCACCGCCAACTGCACGCATGATGCCTTCGTCCAATCGAAAATCCGTCCAATGCATACCTAAACGGTAAGCCATAGTGATCAAACAACCGATCGTTGTACTAGCGACTGGTCGCACAATGTCTGGCGGCATGAAATCCCAAGAACGGGTTTTTCCTGTTTTAACGGAAACATTAGATTGTTTTTACGTGTTATTATCCCTTTTGTTCAAAACT